CAGTCACTTTTGATCAAGACTAGTAATAGTTTAAGGCCAGGGATGATTTTCATTACACTTTGCTGAACTCGCTCTAAAGCTGTAAACCATCTTTATTGCTGCCATCAGAACGGTACATGGTACAGCTAGCGCAATGCTCTGATTATACAAGGCTGTACAAGCATTTTATTTTGCATGGGGCCTCAATGCAGATTGGGAGGCTTCTTTGTAAACACCTGAGTCTTTATGAACAGCGGCTGCTGTCACCCTCCTATCCCCCAAATAGTGTCTGTCTGTATATTCGTACTTCCCCGATGAGTTAACTAGCATTGATCGTCACTGTAGTTTATCTGCTAAATGTCTCCCCGCTGCATAATCGTGTCTAGGTTCTGGCAGCTCTTCAGCTGTGTGGCCCTTTTCTGTGCCACCTGCAAATTTAACCAGTTTATTAAATATGCCAGTATCTGTCTTGTGTGGAATTTTAATTAATGTGGATTGGAATGAATGATGGCTCCAAGACAGAACCTTGTGGTACACCAGTGATTTTTCTTCACAACTTCACAGTGGGGGGTGAACAAGCCCGGCAGTATTAATGCACATTCAGAAGCAACACCTACGTATGAAAATGAATAAACATGTATGAAAACAAGGGGGTAAAAACAGTGGCAAGTGGCAGAGCCCCTATCCGCTTAATTACTGTCCCTTTATTGTAATAATTAGATATTGTGTATATCTGGTATTAAATTGTAATTCAGGTGTGGAATATGTGGCATTTTTGTTTCCTCTTGATTAAACTGCTGTGTGAAATACTAAATTCTGTTCTCCTGTCATCTACCTGCTTGCTTCTCCCTCTTAGGTACGTAGGTGTTGCTTCTGAATGTGCATTACAGTTTCCAGCTCCATGTTGTGTTAAGAATTTTAATAGACTTTCAATAATATATGGTTTCATAATGTCGGCCTCCCTGCTTTCTTTAAACTCAGTAGCTAAATTGTGCCATTCTTTTATCCATGTGGACTGCCTCTTCATATGTTTTCTCCTACCTTAGACTAAATAACCTTCATAACCATTTTACCATCATAGTCTTACCCATAATAAGAGTAAGATTACTTGGTCAATTGGCTAGATTGGTCTTATTCACTGTGAATTTGTGAAGAAAATCGGCTTTAATACTATCCCTTTATTGTAATAATTCAATATTGTGCATATTTGGTATACATTTTTAATTCAGGTGTGTAATATGTGGTATTCTTGCCTCCTCTTGAGCAAACTACTGTGTGAAATTGTGAAGTTGTTTTCCTGTCATCTACATGCTGCCTTTTTTTTTGCACCCAAGCAACTTCTCCCTTTTGCCACCGGTTGGTGTTGCTGTACTGGAAGGAATGTCTGAGCATCATTATACTGATCCGTTTGCTTGTCCTCCCGTAGCTTTTGTGATCACTTCTTCATACCTTCTTCCAGCCGTCTACCGCATTGCCAGAGATGTTTTCAGTCTCTTGTATTGTCTTGAGTGCTCCCTTCTTTCCACCGCCTCCGCCTCTCCTGTTTAGCAGTTTTAGTTGACCTCATTGATCTGGTCCCATGATGCATTCCTTTAAAGCCTTGAATATATGTCTGAAATCCCGCTAGCTGTGGTGTAGCTCCCAGAGATGGTATCTTGTAACCTCAATGTTTCCTACTGTGTCCCAGGCTATGCATGAGAACCGGCCTGATTAATTAATATCCCTGCTATAACACTTCAAAGATTACATCTTTGTCCGGTTCAATCAAGTCCCTCCTACACATTCTATCCCCGGTCCACCAACCAAAGATGGAAATTCGCCAATTACTGCTGCATCAGGTTGCATAACCCATGGCTACAGTTGACATCTGAATCTGGTAGCATATCGAGTGGCCCTGCTGCCATAGAGGCCGTGCTCATTCTCAGACCTTAGCCGTACAGCCTCCACACGGCCTGCTCCCCTGGCCTGGGAGTTATATTTAGCTAGACTCCAGTCCCGTCCCCTGGTGTATCATGCTGGTCTTATAAAAAAGAGTATCTATTAATGTTATACTCGTTCTCCTCTCTGCTTCCCAGCCGTGTCTTTGTTATTCTGACAAAGTCACGCTTGCCTCTCAACATGATGGCCTCGATACTTTTTGCCTTTCAGTCAAGCGCTTCTGTCATTTAGCTACATCTCTGAGGGGCCCCGGACTCGCGGCTCTGCTTTTGAAATGACCCTCAGCTTCTGTACCCTCCCCCATCTGGTCGGCCCAATTCCCCAGCACCCTCTGGCCCTAGTTTAAATAAACGAAGCATTTGCCTCCCTGAAGCACACTGGTGTCCCTCTGGTTCAGATAACCATCCGGCTTGAACTGCTCCCATCTGTTCTAGGAGGTCTTCCAGCGCCCCATAAACTCTAACACCCCCCACCCCCGTCTCCCACACAAAGGGTTTAGCTATGAGTTCTCAGAAGCTTTTGGAGAGGTTGCAAAGTCTTGAGCAATTTCCCGTCTTTGCTGAGAGTGCTTTGTGATAACGGTAATCGTAAGTTCTTGTTCTCATCCACTTCCGGCTGACAATCTCTTGCCATTTCAGAACCTTCTGGAAAAGGTGATCCAAAAGTCTGAGGGGTACACGGTGGACCAGCTGGAGAGGCTGTACTCTGTGCTCAGCCAGTGCATCTACCAGCATCGTGGAGACTATGACAAGACCCTGTTGACGGAGGTAAGTCTGCTCGCTCTCCAAGCCAGATTCCTTGGCAGGTGCTGACCGCGGGAACCTTCTGCTTCCCCTGATGTGTTCCCAAGGCTCACGTAGCTCTTACCTCATCTATCTGCCTCAGCAAAAAGAAGCAGAACAAGGCCTGAGTGCCCCAGCCCCAGGCGCGGCGGAGCTTAGAGCCTGTCTGCATGTTTGCTCTGCCCGGTAGAGTAGTTCTGCTGGAGCTGCTGGTTCCTCAGGGCGAGACCAGATCACTGATAAGAGCTCTGAGTTTCAGGCACCGTCGTCATACCCTTGCTAGCTGCACGCACCCTCTTACTGTGGTGGTCGCCTTGCTTGTTTTTCTTTCTCATCTTGCTTGGGGATTAGCTGGCTGACTCCATACCCCGCTCGCTGGGGGAGGTGTTCTTAAGCCAGCCTTGTGTACATAAAAGCTGATCTTACCCTTAAAGGCATCGCCTAGTGTGTCTGGCCATAAAACATGAATGAAATATTAAGTGAAGCACAGTCTGGCAATGTGTGCCGGTCCTGGAGTTGTACCCCCTGCAGTTCTTAACCTGCCCGGAGCTGCTCCTTAAAGAGGGATTATTTCAACAGTGTTTGCAAACGCGAATTATATTTCCATTTGTCTCCTACGTGCATAATTAAGCTTTAGCGAAGAGCATTCATGCAAATGTTTGACCTGACCTGTCTTGCGGCTGGCAGGTCCCCTTCAATGTCAGACTTCCCTCAGTGTGAGTGTATTTTTCTGTGATCTGCTGGAGGTTGGAGTATAGGAGGTAATCTGTGGTACCGAAGGAAGTTGCAGACTGATAGGGCTGTAGTACTGCTGCAGTGGCTGCGTTTTCCCAAACAGATTGCAGAAATGTGTGCTTCCCACAGTTCTTAACTATGGAGGTGACATGGGAAGGGACACCGCAGGCTGCAGGCAAGGTTCACTTATACAGGCAACTTCTGCTCTATCACTAGGGTGCCATAATTAGGGTTTGCTGATATTTACTGTTTGTGTGGAAATCATCTATAGTCATTCAGGTTGGAATGAGCTTCTCTGGATAAATATCACTCCGGAAGCTGTTGAATAGTTGTCAGTGGAGATTGACTGAATGTACTTGTTTAGCAGACTTTAAAGGGACCTTGTGAAAGGCCTGACTTAGTCTGTCTGTTTGTGTGCCTGCATCAATGAATTGCTGCATCATTGACTGCCTTAAGGAAAATCAATCCTCACTTGATCACCTCTGAAAAGTGATCAACTCTGCTTATCCAGGCTACGATCAGTTGCTTCAGGAATCTTATCAGACATCAAGTTTAGGTCTATCATAGCTCTGCCTGTTGACAGACGGGTCAGGAGGAACATCATCTGACCACCTGGCTATTATCACTGTCAGTTCTGACCAAGACGCTCATCTCTACTCCAGTTGTATTTCTGATGTAAGATATTTATATATTTATAGACACCATTAGTTATTTCATATCCCCCCTGTTGGAAACTGTTAGTTCTTTAATTCCCAGTAGGAAAACCTACTGTAAAACACAATATGACAGCTTTCTTGAAATGATGTCCTGTATTGAATCATCATGAATAATACTTGCAGGTTACTGACAGTTGCTAGAATTGTATGTTTTCGGTTGCTGGTGATCTCTGGTGACACGCAGCCCCTTTGATAAAGCAGTCCAAGCCCCCAGAGTGTTTCCCTGTCCCCTGCCTGCACGTCGAGCCCGTCTGGCTGAAAGCTGTTAGCTACTGCCTGGAAGGGGCGAGCCGGGCAGAATGTCAAGCAGCCCAGTGTATCCGGACCACACGCTCTCGGCATAACCGGGGATCATTTTCCTCCTCCAAAAAAAATAAAAAATGGAACTAAGCTCCCTAAAGCCAAACTGTCACAGGATGAAGACGTGACAGAACTCGTAACTGTGCTCTGCTGCCACTGTGCAGACGTCAAACACGCTCTAACCTGCCATTTTAGACACTGGTTACAGGACAGTGTGTAGGGCACATTCGAGTGTGTAAATTCTTATGAAGTAGGCAGGCGGGCTAAAGATGTCAGGAGAAATGTGTGCTTGTGTTGGACCTCGAGATGCTGGAGAGACCTGAACAGCAGAGACATTAGGAATTGGGTCACTTAACTGTGCTGCTTCTGCGCTTTGGAAGTGCACTGCAAGTGAAAGTGGTCACTGTAGAGAGCCCTCTTTGGTCACAACGCCCATGTTCACATGCTGCTCTCCTGCCAGGCAGATGGATCCCCGCTGATCCCACGTCAGTCTTCGGTGGTGGCCCGTCTGTAGTTGTGAATAGTTTTATCCAGAGTCAGACCCGCAGTCACCGGCTGGTCGTCAGCAGCACGGTTGTGCTCCTTCTGGCCTCTGCAGTGGGGAGAGTTCCCCGACTCACTGGCCCATAGGAAACATGACCGTACGCAGCTTGAGTCCTGGAGTCTCCTACTGGAGGGCAAGGTGTTGTAGCTTTAAGTTTCAGCTCAATGTTTTCTGGGCCAAATCTCCTTGGATTCTTATTCTGGTTTTGACACCTGTAGGTCCCAACAGGCTTTTTTTCCAGGAGGACTCTGTCAAGTGTCATGTGTGGCTTTTAATCCATCAATCCCTACAGCCTTGCGATGGCGCTGTGTCCACTTTGGAGTTTAGAAAATAAGCTTTCGCCAATAATAGTGTGTGCTTGCAGTGCCTGCTGGAGTTTGGCACGGTTGCTGGAGAACACCGCGATAGGATGTCACCTGCAGGGACGCTTCCTGTTTGACACACGTTATACCTTTTAAACACAACGCGATTCATACTGCGACCGGTGTATTTGGTCTCGGCCATTAGCCTCTCTCACGGGAGCAAATGCTTATAAACACAAAGACACACACAATCACCCTGAACATCAGTGACTTCATCCATCTTTTTCTGGACCCAGTTTGTTGCAGTGTCTTAGTGCTTCCTACCTCTACCTCTGTCATGGGGCATGATGATGCAGCTGAAACGTCCTTCCTGGTGGAGTTAATTGCCCCAGGCCGGCTGCGCCTGACCCACCAGTGATCTTTGTTTTGGTGCTGTCGCCAGGGCGACACGCAGCGACTGCCCCGGGAGCCGGCTTAACGCACTGTGAGAGCATCACTCACCCCTGTAAGGGGCCCACACAGCTCCTCAGGGTCTGTGTGCATGTGCCTGTGTGCCGGAACGAGTTTTCTTAGCCTTGTGGGGATATTTTTGGAAGAAATCGTAAACGGATCCAGCAGGTTCTGTTTAATTTAGTTCCTGCAACGATAGGTCAACAAATGTATGATGGTGTGTTGTATGTATGAGCCAGCCAGTCAGTCAAATTGTATTCTGGTGTTTGTCAAAAAGTTTTACAGTGGAACTTCAAAAGCAGCTGAGCAGTACTTGAGAGTTTTCTGTGTGTAATTGCACACATAACAGATGCAGGTGTAATATGTGAGAATGTCCAGGGGGGAGGAGGCAGCCATGGGTCAGGGAGCGAGCTAAGGGTCGGCGTCTTCCTGCCTGCAGCCCTAATGACTGCAGTGACAGACGGGCTGCAGATCTGCCAATTGGTAATCAATGCTGGAGGGTTAAGACATCTGGTAACTTCTGGTGGAAATCTGTGTACCCCTTTCCTGTTATTATGCGTGCATGTAAGCACAGCCCCCTGCAGTGACTGCAGACAGAGGGGTTTGCATGTTCTGCTTCTGCCATCTATCCAAATAAACACAAAAGGAGAGAGAAGAAAGCGAGTGACTGGAAAAACCACAGAATGTCTCCCCTCTGCAACAGTGGGCTGAGTCCGTATGTGAAGTTTATCAAAAATACCTCTTTGCTTGCCAGGTCTGCCCCCCCCCCCCCCCCCCCCCCCTGCCTCGTCCATTCAGCTGTCATGTTTGAGTAATGTAATGATGACGTCTGTCTGTCTTTTAGGAGATGGAGAGGAGGGTTGAACATTTCCAAACATTCCTCTGAGGGACACCAGCCTTTTTTGAGCCATTTTCCTTCTCTTCAAAGCCAAGCAAGATTGTGGTCTTGGTCTTAATGGAAAAACGGAGGAAAAAAGGAACACTTGTGTCGGTGACTTTGGTGCTATCGTCTCAGGTACCTGGACAGGACCAGTCTACAGAACCAAACACAAACTCATTAAGGTTTTCTTTATGTCAATGAGATGCACACACCAATGCTGTCTGTGCCTGGTGCTATCATATCCATTTGCTGCTTGGATTTCTTTAGACAAATGGGGTGATTTTATTTTTTTTGTAACAGTAAAGGGGCTTTAACTGGGGGTAGGGGGTCTTCAGACCCCCGGTATCACACCAGCAGTGACATTGCAGTGTGATTGAGGTATGGGGTCAGAAAACCGCATATCCCGTGAACCTCGTCGCCATTTTGACTGTCCTCAAAGCCGCGACTCTCTCTTTCCTCAAACACATTTCAACTGGAATCGCTAAATATGTTTTCTCAAGTACTCTGACAATTGTTGCCAAAACAAAATTTGTTCAGCCTAATTAGCACGTGGGTGGCGCTTGATTTTTCTTTCTTTTTATTTTTTTCTTGATTTTGCCACCACTCTCACTGGTGTTGGCCTCTCAGATTAGAGCATTTCTCCCGTGTTCCTCCTTCCAAAAACACCCGAAACTTCACACAATCCGTGTTGAAATTCTAAGCTTAGAAAGCTGAAAAGGCACTTGCTAAATGTCTGCTAGTTTATACTAATTCTAATATACATCTTGTGTCTTGATACTCACAAACCAAAAATAATCTGGCATCAGTAAATTGCATAGAGCTGGAGGAGTTTGCTAGCGTTTGCAGTCGTAACATTGGCTGGTCGGAAGCTTCCTCCCTGTGTTCACTGTGTGACTCTACCTTTAGTACACGTCGAGCTTGCTCGTAACATTCTCTTCACACTCTTAGCTGGAATAACCGGATTGATTTCAATTTAATGTCTCATTAGCACTGCCTAGCATGTGCCTTATGTACCCAATCATATTAAGATGTTCGGTGACAATGTATTGTATAGGGGTTTATGTATGAGTCTTGCATCCACACTATTAAATAAAAAAAATAAAAGGATAAAAAATACATTATACATCTCACCCGTTTTATTTGAAAGCAATACAGGATGTAGGCGTTCATAGCGACTGCAGCGTTATTTCTGTTCGTCCGCATGTTACGTCGTCGTTTGTGAAAGGGTCTGTGCCAATCTTTCGTGGGTTTTCTTTGAATTGTCAGTGTCCCTTTCAGAAGTGTTGTTCTTGTCACCTTGCAGGAAATATCTGGAGTTCTATACCACATTGATTTTTTTTTTCATTTTCCCATGTACAGTTTTTATTTGCATTTTTTGTACATTCGTTTTAACATCTTTCATTTCCTAAACAAAGAACAAGGTCATTCCAGGCAGTGCTGATTGCTTTTCAGATAAAGGACATTGTTTTGTTCATTTTATGTTGAACTTTATTCCTCCAATCCTGAAAATAGGGAGTTTTTGATGTTGGGCTCAAATTACTGCTGATGTTCACGTGATATGGATAAATCAATTTTTGTTTACAAAACAGAGAAAAAAAATTCTTAGGGTGCTGAATTTTGTCGGGCTGCTTCGGGTCACGGTTCTGGAAGCTTAGCTGTGGGATGTCCACTGTTAATTAGCCTGTTCATATAAGTGCTGGCAATAGCTGAAATCTCCCATGACCAGTGCCATGCCAGAACCCTTTCGGGTCGATTTGGGTGTGAAGCTTTTCAGACATATGCAATAGAAGCATTTCAAGACAATGGTTTTGGACGACAGAGGGATTAACGTGAAAACGCAGCTACCTCAGCTTAATTTATTTAACGTTGATAAAGGACAAGTCGTCCATGGGGTACAAACAGTGTTTGTTAGGATTAGAATTTCATAGCAACACCTGCCGACCCAAATGCTAAGGTACTGGATCAGTAGAGACAACCCTGTGGCCACTGCAGTTATCAGCGTTTTTTCTTTCCTTTGTTTTCATTTTGCATTTGAGCCAAGTTGAAGAATCGCAACTTTAAATTGAAGCGTCGTTTACTGTTTGTGTTCGTGTTTTCGGATGGATGCCCCTCAATTGCTTCTGTTCTTTGATACGGCTATACTTGCATACGGCTTGTGTTTTCTGTCCATATTCTCCTCTTTGGTTATGCCTTGTCGGCGGACTTTCGGGATTTTTTTTCATGGGTGTATAATTCTTATTTATTAATGTAATTATTGAACATGAACTCTGCGGTGTGATATTCATTTAAGAGTCTTGTATATGAATTGAAATTGGAAAAGTTGTTACTCGGGTTTTTAAATTTTTGCCGATCGCAGTGTAGCATAATAGTGTGTAGCAAGGTTTGTGTGGAAAAGGGGGTTTACAGGTTCTCAGGTTCTTCATGTATTAATCTTTCAGTTTGTATGTGTTCCACTTGTGAAGCTGGTTACTTCCCCCCCCACTGTTGGATTTTTAGTGGTGAGACTGTGATATACTGGATGGTGCCTAAGGGATTTTCTGGTCAGGTATGCAGGATTTGTGAAAGGAATGCTTCATTTTTTCTCTCTGTCGTTTCATTGCTCAGTAATATTCAGTAGCTGTCGTGATAGACCACCGATCCAGAATTCCTGTCTGTTGGGACAGGAGATCGTAGTTTTGCACTTGAAACCTGTACGATCCACCATCATCGCTCTCCATTACGCCATTGTTTTACATGTCTTTTATTTTCCTCCTTTCATTGTGCAGAAACTTTATCAAACCTCAAAAAAAAAACAGCTTGATGGATGAGTCCCGCGTCAGCTTGCTAGATTTTCACATCTCCAAATGTTTTGTTTTCCTTTAAACCTTCCCTTCATTACTGCATTCGTATCAGTCACACATCCACTTTGTTTTCCTGGAGTATAGAGAACATGGTGCAGCCCAACGGCCACAGTCTCCCCCAGTATTCACAGCACCCTTAAAATGTCAGCCATCGCAATGCCATCGTTTGCCCCTAAGCACAATATCTGGATTATCTTACCATGATTTTGTCTGTGGTTAAACAACCCCCCCCCCCCTTACTTTCACTTTCTGTTGGTGATGTGAGATCCTGAATACAGGCTCCTTGCATTACAGCTTCATCAAGTTCTTTTAAAATGTTATCTTTTTTTTTTTTTTTTTTTTTTTAACTGTTTAGGTTTTTATAGCTTTTGCTGTTCTGTTTTTTGCTCTATCTTTGTTATATCATGTGTATTTAACACCCTTTTTGATCTTTGTGTTACTTTAGTGTAAGTTATATTTGAACTGAAGCATTACTGTAATTTCTGAAAGAAATTTTTAAAAACTGCTGTGACATACTTGAATAAAGGTGCAAATTGTAGTTGTGTCCTATTGATTCTCCCTGGTGTTGCTCTTACATTTGATAACATCAATAACACAAAATTTCCCAGTTAATGACATGTAAGTTTTAGCCAACTTCAGCAAATGTTAACCATATAATCTAGCACATAGTGATGTAAAGTTAACTATGCAATACAAAAGATATTAATACAGTATCACTGCTGTGAGAACTTTATGTAACCTACCCTGACAGTGAAGCCTTTTCACAAGATCCAACTGAAATTGACCCAGTAGTCATTTTCTGTCATACTTTATTTTTTTTTTTTAAGTTTCGTACAGATTTACAGACGTCCATCTACCCAGCTTTCTAAAAACATTTACAGAATCGATTCATTTTTTAAAATAAACATTTTTTTCCTTTCCTAATTTACAGCACTGCCTGCTCCCCACCCTTGCAATTATATTTCAACATTCCCCCAACAAACCTTATGAAATGTAAAACAAAAAAAGGAAGGACAAACAATGGAGGAATACACTGATACTGAGCGTGGTAAACCTCAGCCTCTGATTATTTGTGCTTTGGCCGAGTGCAGAGAAATGGCTCTGTGATGGTTTAATAGTCTGTTTCCAGCCCTTTAGATTTCAGCTCTTATCTCCCCACCATGTGCTGTTCCCCCCCCCACCACTGTAGTCTCTACTGCATGCTGCAAGCTCCGAAAACAGACTGGGGCCTCGAGTGCTCCTCAGGACGTCCTCCACCTATCGGGTCCTCTCCCCAGTGCCGTTATCCTCGCGGTGTGAGCCTCGGATCCGTTTGGTGATAACCTCGTTTAAACAGGAGCCGTTAGCAAGGAGGCCGTTACTGCAGCGAGTGAACACTTGGAGAGCGGCAGACTAATCCTAAAGTCTGTCGTTATATTCCTGTAATTTGTTTGCTAAGTTATCGCAGATAAAAACCAGACGTACCCGTGGAATGCACATGATCCTATTGTAATAGGAGGGGGGAACAAACCTAATAAAACCGATCACAGATGGGAAAATGATAGCTACCACATTTTAATGAAACTGACAAGCTAGTGCTGAAACCAGTACAAACATCTAGTGAAGTTACACTATGTTACATAGCTGAGGCTCTGGGCCTCAATTTCACCGAAATGGTGAAGAATGTCATTTACATTCGGTACAGATCGAAGGTGGGAGGGGTTTACCGATGGCAGGGCAGGGTGGGGCGGGGCCTGTGGCATCGCTGCCCGCCCCAGGATTTCTGGGTAAGAGTCTCTGTGCTACGTCGGCCGCCTCAGCCGCTCTGGATGTACTTCTTGATGACCACGCAGCCGTGCCTGAAGAGTGGACAGGGCAGGTTTTGCAGGAGTGTCCAGGTGCTGCTGCAGGGGTCGTAGGCCTCCATGTTGCCCAAAGCTGGGCCCTCGCTGCTGACGATGCCGCCCGTGGCATAGATCTTACCGTCCAGGATTGCAGCACTGGGTGGAGAGATGCCAGGGACAGGTCTGGATTCAGCTCTGAATGCATGTTTACCTCCAGGACTCTATTCTTTTTTCATCTCTCCTCCATCTCCTTCTTGCCACCTTCTCTCGCCTTACCTGGTTCCCTTTCCCCATTGGTCTCCAAGCCTCCTCAAAGTTTACCTTGACACCTCCACTTAATATTTAGTAAATCTATCTGCTGTCACGCCTGCTTTGTTGCCTGCTAAATCTGTTTTCTTTTAGGAGAACATGCCACCAATTAGCACAACTAGTCATTATTTTTTGTCTCAACTTCCACAACTGCATTTTTTCCCTGAATTTATCATGTCTTAAATAAATAATCAGGCCACCCTCAGTAATGATTTGACAGCTTTTCTGGCATTAATGCAGTAATGATACATAAGTTTAGTCTTCTAATGGTTATTCTAACTTGAAACATAAGTAGGATTTGTTTGCCTTTAAGTCCTGCACGTATATAACTAATCAAGTAAAGCAGCCAGGAACTGGATACCATTAATAAACTGTGTAATCTACAAATGAGACACAAAGTCTTTGTTTTAGGCTTCTAATAGTATCTCTCATCAAGACATGTTTCTTAATGTGCCAAATTAGTTTTGCCCAAACATTTTCTGAGCAGCGATTTTGCACATCATTGCACAAGTTAGAAATCCAGTAAACACAACTGCAAATCTCAGCAAATTTTATCCCTATAAATAGACTGTTTCCCTGCAGACGGAAACAACAGTTTTTCATAGAGAGGATTAAAACTTCCAGTTGTAAGGAGATTAGTGTTTTGTAGCACCTTTGGGATTTGACTGATACCATTTACATGAAGTGCCCTGATACCAGAGAAATGCGGCACATACAGAACGTATCCAGGCTGATTATTATGTGCAGATAAACTTAGAGGCAGGAGAAGGAGACAATCGGATGTGTGTAATGCTCCAGGACAAACTCCGATTCAGGATTTTAGAATAAAAAAAAGACATTTCAGTCGGGGATTCAAATGGCAATTGCAGAACTCATTTAAATGTGTCAGGGGGAAAATCCTACAGACCATTTTGATCAGTAAACGAATATCACCCGAGGTCACATTGTGTTAAAATGCAAAAATGAACAGAACACAGGCATATTGGAACAGAACTGAATTATATAACTAAAAATCTTCTTTCTCCATACAACTCAAAACAGCAGGAGTACAGATGTCTGAGGCATTGCCTTAAACTTTGTGATGATAATCTATTTTAACCCATTTATAACAATGTTTTTGTGAGCAGACAAAATGGGGCAGCTACGATGTGAATATACTTTTAAAATAGAAACGGGACTAAGCAGTGACCCTATTAAACTGCAGCCGATATTGATTTCTGGGTAAAAATATGACGAGCAAACTGAAAATGAGTGACTACATTAAGAGAAAGCATTTTGACAAAATGTGTTTTATTAAAGAACAATGTTTAAAGGCTTAAAATATTGAGTGGTCACATGTGAAACTGATCCATCCATCCATCCATTTTCTGAAACTACTTGTCCTATTCAGGGTCACAGTGGGTCTGGAGTCTATCCCAGAAGCTACAGGCACAAGGCCAGGAACAACCCAGGATGGGGCACCAACCCATCGCAGGGCACACTAACACACTCACACCTACACACCATTCAAGCTTATGAGCGATTTTGCTAACTCCATTTAACCTCAGCATGTTTTTGGACTGTGGGGGGGGGGGACCAGAGTACCTGGAGGAAACCCCACGATGACACAGGGAGAACATGCAAACTCCACACATGTGGAGTCATAGCAGAGACGCAAAGCCTGGTCCCAGAGGTGGGAGGCAATACTCCCAACCACACTGCCGCCTCATGTTAAAGTCATACAAATAATAATTATAATTCATGCTCTTTAATGGTAACTTCCCAGCATGCCATCTGCAAGTCGAATCCATAGAACTACTAGTTCACTAGAACCTATAAATATGTAGGCTGTCATTAAAAACATTTGTATATAATTTTCATACAATAGTTTCAAGCAAATTGAAATATGAAAACTGGAGTGGAAGTCTGTCAATGAAAACTAACCTAGCATCTGATTACACCTGATCCAAAGAAGTATGGAACCTAAAACTTTCCTCCTAATCAGTCTTATGAAAGGCTGTTATCACTCATCTAGTCACCGGTGATCCCAGCTGAGTCTGCTTTCTCTCCTGTGGCTGCCCTCTTAAGATGCATGTGGGAAACGTGTCTTCATATCACTCGGGCGCTACGCTATAGACAAACTCGAACCCAGAACAGACGTGCCCACGTCTTGGAACGCCAAGACTACGGGAGCCGAATCCCAGGCTCCTCTACAGAGAAACTCTACAAAGACGAGTCTGGGAGAACTTCAGTTCTTCCTGAAAACTCTTCTGGGGGTGGGGACTCACTCTGCGTCTCTGTGATGAGCACATGTACAAAGCTTCTATTCCCAACAGCACACAGACTTCCGCTGCAATCCCAGTGGAGATTCAGCCATCCACCATGTGACATCATACAGATAATACCTACTGTAAATCGCTTTCATCTTTTCTGAGCCAGTTGAGTATTCTGTCAACATGGAATTTTTAAAGCTATTATGTGAAGTAATTAGCAAACAGTGAAAATTTCCCTGCTGAAGCTGTATAATGAAACGGCTTTCTTCAAGTGCTTAATCATGAATTACAGTCATTTCCTCTGGGTTTATTTATTTGTTGTTTATTGTCAGTGGGATAGAGACTGACTTGAGTGTTCCAGCAATAAGACGGGGGTTTTTTACCGCATGTGTACGAAACGTCGTGCCCGTTTGACGCTGCAGGATGACCCGGTTTGGGAGCGGCAATGGCATATGCTGTCCACCTACCTGCAGAACTGCCTGGAATGGTTCATGCTGGGTCCAGCCTTGATGTTGCCCTTGTCTGGATCATAGATGGTGGTGGCCCTTGCATAGGCTCCACCCAGAATGAAGATGAAGCCATTGAGGGTAACAGCCGGAGCGTACTTATTATCTGCGTGCAACAAGAAGGGTAACACATCTCATTCACTTTACCGACATTACTGGTATATATGAGTCTTAAGTATAACGTACTATCCAGATTGCAGTTCATTTTTAATTACTTTCTAAGCCAACTGAATTAATGAAATCAGTCTAGTGTTTCCCAGGGCTGAATAATACATCCAAAATGTGCCATGATAATATAAAAAAAAATCCCTCCCCAAAATAATCCATCTTTCAGTTTAATTATTAAGCATCAACACTCAATAGCCAGAAGCTACAGGTACCAGCTCAGCAGAACAACTCCCAATAAGGAGAAATCATTTTCAAATCCCCAAAGGAAAAAAAAACATCATCCTAAAACTTCAGGAACTCCAGGTCATCCCTGCTGTTCCAGTTTTCCAAAATAAACTCTTTTCCATGTTGACAGCATGAAGAGATCCGAGTACTTCCAGATATATTTCTATGGAGAAGCTGCAGTATACGCTATTTTTCACGCTAGCTGGCATTTGAAACCACTATATATCTCTAGCCACTCTTGACCACTAGCTTCCATTAGATACAGAGACTCACACAGGTCTGTGTGCTCCTGTTCTCAGCTGGGTTTGCCTCATGTATTTAGATTAATGGTTTCATTATATTCTGAAATGTAGTGAGTGCTGGTGTCATTGGGCGAATATGGCATCCCGTGCTGGGGTGGGTCTCGCTCTCTCTGGATAGATCACTGCTTGGAAATATCATATTTAAGCATAAAATTAACTCCCTTAATTCACTCAGAGGGCCTTTGTTTTCCCCCGTCAGCCTAAAAGCCGGGAATTGCTTTTAACATAGACCTGTCCATTACGACTGGCATTCACTCCTCATCTAAGATACGCTTCCCACAGCACAGAAATACTGCGAAAATAAGACAGGATACAGATGTATTTGTCGGTAAGGGACTAGACTCCTGCACTACCAGCGAGTAAAAATGGCACACCCCCGCTTTACCCGGCACCGGGAAGTGCAACTGTAAGCAGAAAATGCACCCATCGCGTTCTGCCCGTCGGACATTTTTTCTCACGATCAGTGCTGCTGCTCTGTGTTCTCCTGAGTTCTCCCCCGCACGCAGACTGCATCCACAGTCAGGGGCAGCAGAAAGGCCAGTAACCCCGTCTCTCGCACTTAGAAGAACAGCAACTCCAAGTCTGATGCGCCGAACAAGACCGGCTGTCCCAGCAGAGGTACGAAAGCGGGACACTCCACACCAGCCGTACTCGGTGATTTCTGACTTGTTCAGAGTCAACGTGCCTGAAAAGGCTGAACCCTGCACTATCCAACTGAAACTTTTTGTTATATTTCATCTGTTATCATTATTGAAAAGTTGCTGGATAAAAGTGAAAGATAACTTAATTACAATATTGCAATAGCGTATTTTCTGGTCAAAGTGACAGGCGTGAAGAAATACTTTCTTGATGTCGCCCTTAAGACTTTTCTCCTCAAACACAAAAACATGTGAAACATTCCTCAGCCTGAGAAAGTCATTTACAGCTGTCCACATTGGAGCTGGATGAAAGTGTACCTTTCATGAGAACCAATGCGTGCTGCTGGAGCAAGAGACAGGACTCTCATTAGACTGGGCCAGCATGTATTGGGCACGATGATGTTTATTATTATTGATGTTGTTATGAAACTGGGCCGAAACTGAATATTTGATTTATTATTATTATTATTATTATTATTATTATTATTATTATTATTATTACAGGCAGTCCCAAGGTTACAAACGAGTTCCGTCCCCTATAGGCCTACCTGTCTTTAAGTCGAATTTGTAGGCAAGTCGGAAAAATAATAATGCAGTACATAATAATTATTATTGCACAATAATAATAAAAGTAACTACATACGGTACGGTATTGTACGGAGCCCCCGAAGTCCCATAGGGTGATTCTTCTTTTATCTTGTCCGCACAAGAAAATATCTTGTGCGCACAAGTTATGTATCTTGTGCACAAGATATATAGTTACAGTCCGTATGAATGGTCGCGACAGAGGTGAAGCGACATTAACAATACTTTTTTTTCGGTCGTTATCGGTAATCATAATATTAATACACTATGATAAACAGGTACAGTATAAATACATCATTACTGACACCTGTTTATTGTATTTATCGAACCAGTTTATACCTATTTTACTATGATTACCGATAGTGAAAGAAAAAAGTATTGTTCATGGCGCTTCACGTCATGGCGATCATTCACACGACCATTCACACGGACTGTGTAACTCCGCCTTAATGCCAAAGTAGTGCACAGCAGCGTTGCATTTACTCCTTCGAGTAATATTAATTGCAAGGCTACTGTATCTTATTATATTGTACCCTGATGCCAGCAATGTTTTTTTAGGAGAACGATTCGATTAAACAAGCTAGTAACATATCAAACACACAGCAATTCGTCTATCTAATTATGTCAATGAAATTATTTTTGAGAAATCAGTAAACTCTTGAAAATTGCAAATGCAGCTTAACCTATAGAAGTCTAGCAAACGTAGTACGGCAGCTATACGGAGCTAACATGTTCCTTACAAATATTAACTTGTGCGCACAAGATACGTAACTTGTGCGCACAAGTTATTTATCTTGTGGACACAAGATAAAAAAAAATCACTCTATGGGACTTCGGGGGCTCCGTAGTACTGTACCGCGAGCCGATAAACCACTGCGCTGAAGCCACGCAATGTTTTCATAAGCATCACACTATGTGCGTTCGTTATTACGGATTATATATGTATTTAATGCGATTTTTAAAATAAAAAACTTCATGGCCGTCCGTTCGTAAGTACGAGTTGTCCGTAAGTCGGAGGTTCTTAACCCGGAATTGTCTGTATTCTTATTATTATACTGGGCCGGCAGCTGGCGCGCTCACAGCTCCACGCGCACGAGTGCCTGTCAACCACTAGACGATTTACTCGAGTTTGACGAAAGTAGCGTGAAATCGGTTTCACGCCTGACTCCACGCTCAGTATCGCCGCACTACATAAACTGCGTGTGTAATTGTTTTCAATCACGATGCGCCGCCGATGCGGGCGTCCGGATCCCCCCGGGTGCGCGGCAGAGACAACCCGTCCGTCAGGGCGAGGAACCGCTGGCACGTTAATGTCTGCCCGTGTGGTCGGGTTGGGCTCCGGCGCCGGTGAGCCTGGAGCCGCAAACCCCCGCAGCGCCTCGGAGCGCAATCGGCGGAATAAATATGGAGAGACTGAAGCGGAAAGCGCTTGTAAACTGAAACCCAGAACAAATTAAAGTGCCACCGAGAACTTTCGTCTGTTTGGAAGATCAGCATAATATAATGCCGAGGATTTCATGTTTGTGATTTCTAAAGTTCACGTTCAGATGCTTTGCTTTCCTTAAAACTGGCCACGTTTAATGATCATGATATCGAGTAAGAATCCGACTTTTAGTTCTTAATAATTAACGACTTAATGATGTTAGTTTTAGTTACTTAGCAGTAGAGAAACGTTAAAAATTAAAACTATGTTTTACAATAAGTTGGTATTTTATCCTTTCATTTCCGTGTATTGGAATACAGACATCCAGCCCCACCGATCATCGGCGACTCGATGAAGCTCCAGCTGTCGGTCTGTGGTACGTAGGACTGCAGCACGCCGGCCGAGCGGCCCGCCTCGTTCACCCCGCCGAACACGTAGACTTTCCCCCCGCACACGGTGGCCGCGGCCGAGTGCACCGGCTTGGGAAGCGGGGACACCGTCTCCCACTGGTTCGTGATGGTGTCATACCTGCACCAGAAACACAGAAAAGCCACCATTACATAAAGACCCATCAGAGAGAGAGAGTATATATATTAAAATTAACACCATATATATATATATATATATATATATATATATATATATATATATATATATATATATATATATATATATATTGTGCCTTTGTCTACATCAAAATTGGTTTAATGGGAAATGCTCTTTTTTGGGCCAGGCCGTATTTAAGGGAACTAAGAACCTGTACTCTTAATCATCCTCCTTATCTTTAAGCCAATAAACTGAGTAGCCTTTGCTCTTCCAGAGCTCAGTCACCTGGGAAGACAGTGGATCACAGTGGTACAAGGGCTGTACTTGTGCCCAAAACAGACATGAAAGTAATCAGATGCTGCCATTAAGCTCAAGCGATCGCTAATAATCAATCGCTGCTTGTCCCTTAGAAAGAGTGAGATCAGTATCTTATTTTTAAATATACCGCACAGCATCTTGGCAATACCTCCACCCCAAACACCTGGGGATGTCTGCGGAATTCAAGTTTACAGAACACCCATAATGCTCTGCTATGCCCACTTTAACACATTGGGGATAAAGTACTATGGATAATGGATATGCGCCGTGATCCAAATGTCGCTGGTTCATGTCTCAGGGATAAAACCTTTGAACAAGGTGCTTAAGCTGAACTGATGCATCCATCTATATAAAGAGGTACAAACTGCAAGTCACTCTGGACCGTGAGAGAGAAACTAGATGTGAGTTATGGATCGTGTAGAATGGATTTACTCGTTGATGCCAAAAGCTACTCCTTGTCATTGTCTTACCTTACATACACTGCCGTGAATCTATATTTCCCAAAGGCTGCTTTGAACACAGTTCCGGCATGTTACAGTGCACTGCTGCACTGGCGTGTCTAAATCACTGCCGTGAGCGATCACTGTCCACTCCAGTTAATGCAGCTTCAGCCCTGCACTCTGGGGTTATTTGCACTGATAAACAGGTGTCACACAAATATTGTTGTTGGAGGGGTATGTTACCCCCCACCCCAGTCCGACGAGACATGTACCTAACTCAACTCCTGATGCTGCAGATGCATTTTGACCGTATGTCTCCAGCTGTGGGAGGGACAAGCGATTGTCTGGCTTTTAGAATCACAAATTTGCGTCTGAATACACTGTACATGATTTCCCAAAAGTGACAGATGGCTTCCGGCAAGGCGGCAGGTAGTAAGTCATGCATTTTTCCTGCATTAGATACCAGTTGTTCCACTGTTTTCATTGTCTTCTGAAAAACATCTGTACCGTGCTCTGTAACAAGTCTAGTGTAAAAATCTGATAAACCAACAGACTGAAAAGCAGTTTGAAAACTTTCTAGCTGTGCAGATCCTGAAATGTGAAGGACATCAAGAGAGTTCCCACTCAGAACAGATGTAGTAGAAGTAGCTGGCCCTACAGAGGGAGGAGCCCTCGGCTGAACGCACCATCGGGAGCTCCTTATGAGCCCTGTGCGACATTTACTCCACAAGGCGCAGAACCTGAGCTTAGCCCTCAGGATCTCCTGTAAATCCTTCAGGCTGCTGAGGTCAGGGAGACGCCTCTGCGACCTCAAAGCCCCAACTGACGGCTTCCGGAGAAGCAATAAGACTCCTTAACAGGAGCACATGGCAGACAATGTGTCACTGCACTCCTTGTATGTCACCCCCTGTATTTTTGCACACTGCCTTCATCTGCACTGCTCTCTTATTGGTTTGTCTTACTGTTATATGGCATTTTATATTTTTATATTTGGTGTGTGTGTGTGTGTGTGTCATTACATTCTGGTGTACTTAGGGAATATAGTATACTATGTGTAATATATATACAGCACAGTCAGTGAATCTGCCAGAACAAGCATTTCACTGATGTTGGGAGTCATTATGCATGTGACACAGAACTTTGGTGTGTCTGAACACTACAGGCTGCTGAAAGCGACAAAGATCACACTGTTGGGGATGGGATTAGTACACCAATATTCACCATCCACCCACCCACCCACCTTCTACCCACTTATCCAGGCCATGGTTGCAGGGGTTAGGTAGCTGTTGGAGTGCTGTGTTGTGTTGCTGCATGAGAAACACTGTTTTTATGAAGCAGTTCCTAGCAGATCATTCAGTCGTGTCAAAATATGTCAGAAGGAGATTCCTGGCAATGAGCCGGCTGCCCCAGTACAGAGTACCAACGCATTCTCACACATTCATTCATACTTATGTACAGCTTATAAAGTTTACTCACGCGCAAACAGTTGTTATAATGGCCTTTACATTGATAATGAGCTCAGTGGGGCCCCCTAGAGCTGCGTGGAGGTAAGGAAATCTGGATGGGATTTAGGTGCTTCCGAAAAGCACAGCGTGCCCACGGATGGCCGTCCCGAGCAAAGTTCCAGGAACCAGAGAACTGCCTGAGTATCTGAGAGAGGAGCGGTGAGGAGCGGTCCGGCAGGAGGTGGTCCTGGCTGTCAGGCCAGCAGGAGCCAGAGAGGAGTCACCTCACCTTTTCACCACCACTGCGCTCTGCATTCCATCTGCGTTTCAGTGATGTCCTTCGGTCTGTCACCTGGACCATGTGACACACTTCTGATGAATTATTTTTATTCATGCGCTCAGTCTTCAGACTGCATTGCCTAGGTTATCAACCTGGGGGCTATTGTTGAGTAGGGATGGCAGGGGGGGAGGGGGGGGTCCACCTAAAAGTCTGTAGAGTAGCAGTGGGGGCTCCATGACCAGCTGGGGGTCTGTACAGCAGCAGCAGGGGGGTCCACAGAGGCGTTTCTCAAATGAATGCCATTATCTTCTGATTCAAACAGCTAGAAAAGCTGAAACAGACCCCTGGGCAGAGTGAAACATGCTTATCTCCGGCACAGTCCGCCCGCCTGCAGGTCAGGGCTGAAACGATTGTCTAACCCTGTATGCGATTAAGGTCTGTGTGACCCAGATTCAGGATCCACAGTCAGAGGGAATTTAATCGGCGGGGCGCTATGGGGAGCTGGTCAAATGACCTGTTAGATGAGGGAAGATTGCCATTCAGGATATCACCATTAATCGGCGAACGCAGAATCCATATTGCACACACACACACGCCATCCATTTATTTGAACTACGTATCCAGAAAAGGGTCGCAGTGAATTTTTGTTGAGCTGGATTTATGGATGTTACATTTCCTGTGAATTAACACCTGAATGCTTGGGTCCATTACAACAAAGCTTTTTAAAATCATGCTCACGTTTCATCGGTATGGGCGTGAAAGCATAAAGCCGGGGTCACCCTGCCGGCAGTCTGGCTTGTGCCTTTTCAGCTCGCTCCGATGGAAGGTACAACCTTTCCTTGCACATCCTTTTGCCGCTGTGCTTGAGCCAGACTCCCGATCGCTATGTCTCCATCTCCTGAGATGCCAGTCAGCCGCACATGTGAGGTTAATAAAAACACCGCACAGGTTCCTCTCCCGTTACCTCCTTCTGCCGGGAGATGCTCAGTTCCATCTTTCCCATCGCTTGAATATTTCAGAAGATGGAGGATAGGTCCTGTGGTGCACTGGAACAGAGTAACACGGGAGTGTGTGCATGTGGGGAGGGGCACAGGTTATTCATGACCCCTGAGGCACACTGCAGCTCACTCAATCACTCCAGTCACACATCTGCCCCTCCAGCAACTCCAGCAACTCCAACTCCAGCTCACATCCATCTGACCACATCACCCATGGTGAGCCTGATGCACTGGAGACGTGGCCCCCGCCTGGCTCGGTAGTGCAAACGGACATGGGACATTAATGCCCTCGCAGGGGGACTTGGTCATGGATCTGCATGTGACAGTGGCCTGGTTTCTCATATGCACACATACACACACACACACGCGCACACACAAAAGCTCACAAGAGGAATGGTGCAGCTTGCAGACCACCTGAACCCAGGACCATCTGCCAACGCTTGAGAGCTGACAGGGAAATACGACAAGCGACTATGAGCCTAAAAATCCTCAGAGCGGCATTTCAGACCCGACAAGAGGACTGTGATCTGCCTGTCATCCTACACCTGCCCCCCCTCACTCTAAGATCTAGCCGCTTAAACCTTTCAAACTCTATTATGACACAGAGAGTCATCAGTTCTGACTTCTCTAGAATAAAAAGGAGCTGTACACAATATCAGGAATGGGAAATTGTCTTTGCTGGTCATGTCATGGCCTACACAGATAAAACGTGATCAAACAGAACAAAATACACAACTGGCTGTGTAGGTTGGTGTGGGCGTGTAGATTGGTTAAATGTAATATGTACAATAATATCAAAAAGGACAAGCTAAGAAAGTAATCATTTTTACTTTTATCTCGTAGTTATACATTTAATTCATTTTATACTGCTTTTCTACAGCTGGGTGTTTTACTGGAGAAACTAATTAATGCGCTCTCCCTCTCGGGATATAAAACCTCAAGGAAGCAAGTTTTAGTCCATGACTTTCTTGTCAAGAAGGAAAAACCAGCTCTGTTTAAAATACCCAACAAATAAATAAATTCTTTATTAACAGCTAAGATTGCCCGACACGGTTTCTAAAGGGAATATTTATGATTTCTCCCATCGTCATCAAGGTATGACAGTTAAATTAGCCGATACGTTTTTGTGTGTCATTTTTTTCTGCAAGGTACAGGTATGTAGATTAATAAAACTGAAAAATGAAAAGAATCACCCCATTATTGCGCTGCAATTTCTCATTGTTTTCCGTATTTATCACAAACTTGGCGTACAACACAAATCTTAAGAGAGCTGCAGTGTAATGGTACCTTTAGAAGGTACAATTCACTCTCACTGTAGAAGATATTTAAAAATTCTGAGACATTTCAATAGGTCAGTTTGTCCATAAAACGAAACTCATTAGAATAAGATCCTGTCCACAAGAATTTTAAAAAGACTGTTGAAAAAAATATATATATAGAATGAAGAAATGTGAGTGGTGTCATGAAAGAGCAGCAGGTAGCTGAGTTTTAAATGTGCTTA